AAACCAAGCTGTGGATGAAGAAGATCGAGATGGCTGCAGTACTGTGTGGTGCGTGTTTGTTTGAAAAGATAAAGAGGGAGATCCCTTTGAGTGAGGTGCTGTATCTGTTGTACAGAATATTCCTGGTTTGATTTTCTTGGCTTTTGCGTCAATCTTTGAGCACAACTGGAATATTCAAACGTTTCACTTTAACGTTAAGTGAGTTTTTCAACTTTCAACTCTGACAAAGACAAGTAATGAAACAGTGGGATTACTATTTGGTTTTCTTTTTTAAGGATTTCACTTTGGTGGTACATGAATGTTAAGAGTTGTTTACAATAGTTTACGGGAAAATCTGGTTCTTATAGCCTGATATTGTCTAAAAGGCTGACGGTATTCCGGGATTTTTGCTAACTAGATCCAGAAAACTTGGTTTTGCCATTGCCGCCCGTCGAGGGATGGTCACTCATGCAATTGAGCAGTTTCTTGACCGTTCTTATATGTTAATATCTGACTGCTTTGCCCAGAAGGGGGTCTTCCTTTTACCCAATTCTCATCACCTTTGCCCGAGTGCACACAAATAGCTAAAACGAAAGATCCGTGATGTAGTCCTTCTTTTACTGTTTATTTTTAGAGAAAGCCGATGCGAGTTTCTTTTCATTTAAGACTCAGGTGGACTGCGTCATGTACATTAATGTGAGGGGAGCGAGTTACTTTGTGTTCCTCTACAACCGTTTGTGTCGATGGCGGGCGGAAACCGGCCCACCGGTGTTGTGTTACCACCCAGTTTGCAGCCAGATTGTTACTGAATTATTCACTGCTCTAATTGACTTGAAAAAAAAAAAAAAAAAGAAGTACAGGTGTGTGTTCTCACTGGCTTTCTTGTGGCTCTGAAATGTGACTGGGAATCCACAGCTGCTGCACGGCGTCAGCTGGAGGAAGCACTGTTTTGCCAAAGGGCATTTCTGAGTTGCTAAAAGTTTCCACATTCCTGGTGTGATTAAGATGCTACTCAGACAGCTTAGGTCATGTCCAACACGCCACATATTCGAGTCCGTTCAATCGTGGTGGTGCCTCTTGATTCGTGTCCTTCATTGTTTCATAATTATTCGAACACAGCCAGATAAAAGGCAACTTTTTAAACGGGGAAAGGATAATTGCCGTTGACCTGAAGCCGTGGAATCTACCTCCATTGAGCTGGGTAATCTAATTAAATGCTGATTTAAAGGTCTCGATGCGGCGTTCAGCGGATCGTGTGGACAGGATGTTAATTGTCCGCTCAGTAAATAATGAAGCGATTGTTGCGTGCACACCTGCAGAGTCCTCAGAGGCCGCGGCGCCATTCTCACAGTGAATTAGTTCCTCCGCGTTTTCCAGCTCCAGGCGACTTTCAACCCTGAGTGGAGTTAAAAATGACAGACGCCCATTTGTTTATGTAGCATGTGAGTGTGTGTGTGTGTGTGACCTGCGTGCGAGTTCTGGAGATTGGAGTATTGTTGGTATGCGGACTGGCAGGATGGAACAGAACGGGCTGTAATAACGCTGTATCATCCCTCCTCTGCTATCTTACACAACATTTGTGAAATTCTTTCGGAGAAAGAAAAAGATAGAATTTACAAAGGTGCACATTAGAGACAACCCCCCCCCATGTTAAACTTAACTAATGCCCGGCTAATAGTCATAAAGAATCATTTATTACACTTGTTTTCACCTGAGAATATTTTTTTTCCTTGTTGCAACATTGCATCTTTTTAATCTATGATTATTTTTATGTGTATTTTCCATTTACTCTGACACAAACATGTCCTCAAACTATGACCTATCGTGTTAATTTTTTATCTTTTTCCCTCCGCAGACACAAGAGGAAGATTACGTCTCCACCATCGCCCGTCCTATTGACACCAGTCACTAAGAGAGGTAAAGTGTTTCGCAGACGGTGAAAAGATGGCAACATTTTGTTGCCGTGTGTGCCCCAAAGCTGGTGGGATTCTCAGAGCTCCGACTGTTGAGTTTTTCCTTGTTTGGTCAAATTACCCGTGTGGTCCAGAGAAAAAGATCCCAACAATTCAATTCAATTCAATTAAATTTTATTTATATAGCGCCACATCACAACAACAGTTGTCTCACAGCGCTTTCCAAACAGAGCAGGTCAGACCCTACTCTGAAGTTAATTACAGAAACCCAACAATTCCCACCATGAGCAAGCACTAGGCGACACAGGCAAGGAAAAACTTCCTTTTAACAGGCAGAAACCTTGAGCAGAACCAATAAGCAATCAATAATATGATACATACAATAACAATAAAGATTGCCTTATACACAGTCGTGACACTTTTCTGCTTTTAAGAATGTCTCTGTGTCCTTCCGTTGGCCACCAATCAACATGTGGTTTGGTGCAAATGGAAAAGTTTAGATCCTTTAGGTTAATGAGGAATAACCCACAGAAATGACGACCATCCTCTCACCAAACTAGTCGCAATCTCCTGCTGTCACGGAAAAATGTGACTTTTTCATCACCTTGTTAGTCACTCTGGGCATTCCTTGTGTTTGTGTCATCGTAGCAACATTTTTTTAAATACAAAAAGTGGTAACTATGGAGCGCTGTGGCATGCATTTCTTTATCCTCACGCCGTCAGAGCTGGGTGGATGGTGGTGGTGTGAGAATGAGCGTTTTGGGTTCCCTGTGGGAATGTGGAGTTCCCTTTTCCCCACATGAGGTGTTTGTATCTGTTACATGAACATTTCTTACATTAATAGATGTATTGTTGTTAGATCTGATATGGTTTTAATAATTTACCAGACAAAAAGTGCTATTTCTTTACATAAGTAAAAAAAAAAAAGAAAAAACTTCATTAGCTAAGTCCCATTTGCACTGGATGTTGAATTAAATAAGTCGAATCACAACCGTCTGAAGTGGAATTAAATTGATTTTGGGAAATCATTTGTGTTGCTACACTTAGTGTTTGTGTTTTTAAAGATTGTGACTTTATTTACAGCAGAACCTGTTGCCAACTTGGTTGAGTTTCTGCCATATTAATTACTCTCTCATGTGCTGGAGACTGATGCTGAAAGCAGCGGTAACATCAGAATCGCTCATTTTTTCCCATCTATACAGAAACCCAAAGTTTTCCTCTAGGCACATATAAGGGCTATATGTGAAAGGCCATTAACAGCCAACACTGTGTCAGTTTGTGACGCCATGCTGATGCTCTGGGATGGGAACGGGTGGCACATCTCCCGACATGAACACTTTGTGGACGCGTGTAAACTTTCCACTCGTTCTGAACCCGCCGATTCTGTGGCGTCCCCTCCTTAATCACTGCCTGAACACAGCAGATGACTTTAAGGAGGTGTAAATATTCTTCATTTGTACGTTATAAGCACATAAAATGAGCATTTCCTCTGAAGTCGTGTCACATGACCTGGTGCCAGATGTCATCCGGAGAGGTGGCGATGATTTAGGTGCGTCTGGTGTCCTCGCATAACATCGTGCAGTGTTTTCACTCAAGAGGGTAGATCTCATCTAGCTAGCTGTGTTTGCAACACACACACACACACACACATACACACATGCGTACACACACACACAGAGACACAAGGCTTGTAGATCTCCTTAAAGTTGCTGACAGCCGCACACACCACCATTTACACTTGAACACTTGAGTGCGCGCCAGAAGAGCAAAGGCTGTAAATATAGAAAATAGTTTGGCGGGAGTTGTAGGCAGGCGCATCCACACGCGCGCACACACACACACACACACACACACACACACACGTCACGCATGTGCACGGACCACAGTCTGGCCAGCTGCTGTGGGAGGACGAGAGGTTTTGAATGGGAGTGACAGCTGCAAATTCCTCAGAACGAAGGAGGGATGGATAAAGATTGGAGGTTGGGAAGAATGAGTGTGAGAGGGAGATAAGTTCCAGAAGGAATGGAAGAGAGAAAGGGGAAGGGGGGGGGTGGAAAAGAAGTCATGTGAAGAGCCGTTGCGGAGTTGGAGCCTGAGAGTTGTTATGACAATCCTATTTATTTAGATCCCAGCTGAAAAAACTTTGCTTTTCTCTCATTACAACATTACGCATTACTCACGCCGACATTATTCTTGAATTACGCACACGTCGAGCTTTTTCAAGAATTATTCCACTGAACAAGAAGTTCCTGGTAGATGGAGCGTTCTACAACTGCAGAGTGAGCACAAACAGGTCTGAGGGTTTTGGAGCATGTGATCCTAACTGTCAGTATGAGACTATTCATAGAGATCCTGTATTGCACAAGACTGATTTAGCAACTCTGTGGATTTCTTCTAGTGAATACAGGCTAATTTCCTAAGCCTTTACCCTATTTGATATGGGATATTTTTTCCTTAGAATCCTGTCTAAACAACTGTGGATGAGCCTGTTTTGGCTGTGGCCTTAAAATCACAACTCGGGACTCTAAATGTCTGGTAGGTCTCTCCAGTGAAAAATGCTTAGCTGGCAGTACTGAGTCTATGTTGATGTGGAATGGATGGAAATGAGCCACTTAAATGCATTTAAAGGAATATTATTATCTTCAGCCAGTTTAATCACAGGTGAATTTTGTATAAATGACACAATTAATGCATAGAAAACTAGACACATTAAAACAAGATCAAAAGTCTGCAATGAGAAATGATTTAGGGAATTATTTCAGCTAAAGCCGAAGCTCATTGTGTTGACATAATCTTTGAATGAGCCCATTTGGGGCCTCATTCAAAGATCTTTCTGCATTCGGATTAGCTGAAACACAACTTAACAGGAAAGTCAATAGTTGACTTAGTAGTTTTCCATGTATCTGTAATGGTTGTGTTTTCGAAACAACTGTGTGTGTGTGTGTGTGTGTGTGTGTGTGTGCCTGCAGGAAACTCATTAATCAGAGTCGTTAGAGGTTGTCCAAGCTTCTTGCTCTTCGATAATGCCTCTGCCAGGGTGAACGGGGACCCGGGAGCGTTTGTCTGAATGCCTCGGTGTTTCAGTTTTTTTGGTGATGACGCGCCTGGCTGCCCCGGTGCTCAATGGCACTGCGGCAGCAGCGTCACAACAACGGCGAGGAGAGCCGAGGGGAGGAAATGGCAGTCTAAACTGAGCTCTTAAACAGGAAGCCACCCTGGTTCTCTTATTGTTGTGCTTTTATAGACTCCTTCCTGCTGACTGGACCGCCCCCGTTGCCACGGTTACCATCCCTGTTATTTATGGGATGGACCTTAAAGATCTCACAGTGGAAGGACCGAATTGTTAAAGGAGGGCTACTTGGAGAATTTGTCTGACATGAACATTTTAGTAACATTTTTTGTTTATTAGAGGTTTATTAGTTATTTATGAGGATATAAATATGTTTTTTGTTTGGTTGAATACTGTAGATACTGTTTGCTTTTGACGTTAGTTTAACTTTTCCATACACAGTGAAATATTGCTGATATTTTTTGCCTCAATTCAAATCCCAGGTTGCATTTAGAGGCCCTTAATAAAAACAGAGCTCTTTCTGGGGACTGCAGATGCCCTGCAACAGGCCACTTTGCTCCAGATAAGGAGCAAAGCTGCGTCAGAGAAAAGAACCCGGGGAGGGAGGACAAGAAAGAGAAGGAGTTAAAGAAAAAAGAGGATGTGGCCGACAGTAAAAGATGACTGGAGGGGAGTGGAGCTCTCCGTCTAATTATAGATTCTGCTGTGAGCTGGCTGAGGCAGAAGTGCTACTGGGGTTTTTTAAAACCGGATATTTACTTACATGACAAACACGGGTATGCGCTCTCAGTTTATTTGTTACCTGCTATTGTGTGTACATCTGCATGAGGTTGTGCTTTTGAAGGTTTTTTTCTTTTTTTTTTTTCTCTAGATTTTGTGAAGATCAAATTGAAGATCAAGTCGTACCAAAGTGCCTGAGTGGTGCATGCTGTGATTTGTGTCTGTGAGTGAGGCAGCCTGGGGTGATGATAGTGATGCCGAATTCGGAGATAACACAAAGTAGTCAACAAGTGTTCGCTCTCATCTGCCTATCGCTCATTCTGGGATTTTCTCTTGTGTTTTTTACTGCTTCTAATGCACTTGTTTTACCAACTGCAGCAGATTTTAGGAGACACACTGTGCGTTTGTGTCTGTGTGTGTCTGTGTGTGTCTGTGTGTGTCTGGGTGTGTGTGTGTGTGAGAGAGAGAGAGCAGTAGGGAGCTTGCTGACCTAACAGACAGCAGTTCTGGATGTTTATGGAAACTCCGTGAGGACTTTGGAAACTGGACCCACGCTGCATAATACATCAACCTACCTCTGTTACTGTCACCCTGACAAACACACACACACTCACACACACGCACACACACACACAAAAATATATTGTCAGTTTCTCATGCTACACATGACTAAAGATGCTGCAAAACGGCTAGCAACTAAAATGCTTTCAAGCCCTTAAATCATTTGAATTTCCAAAGTAAATCAACCGGCCAATTCATTTTTTCTTTTCCCCCCCCATTTTTTAAATACAAAGAGACTCGTCCTAATCCCACTTAAGCAAAAAAAAAAACCTGAAAGGGGTTATTTTCTCCCTGCCGTAGCAAACTGGTTTCATCAGCTTCACACAGGAAGGTTTAAACGGCTATCGCAGCTAAAAATTAAGGTTGTTATTCGCTAAATAAAGATTTGGGGAAATGAGAAGGAGGAAATAGTAAGAATTGACATAAGTGTCCAACTGTGCAGTTCAGTGTCTGTGAATTTCTGCGCGTTTGCGTTTGCAGCCTCCTGGATCAAAGACGGTGCTGCTTAAATCAGCACCGTCCCATCAGGAAACAGAAGTTATCATTTCGGGGCAGTTCCCTTTTTTTGTAAATGTATTGTTTCATATCCTGCTCTGTAATTCCGTCTGTTTGTGTATTTTTAGGCACCTCCAGTTGCTTAAAAAAAAAACAAACCTGAATTTGTTTGCTTTCTGTTAAAATTTAACTGTTTCCTTTGGCAACAGCTACAAAAAAAAGCTATGAAAAAGAAATTTCTTTGACTAGGAGCGCATAGATGTATTTATTTATTTTTTAAAGCATTTGGATTCACATTCACAACAAAATAAAAATGCACATACTGGATAAACTTTCAGAATTCATCATAGTGATGATCCTCATGCATGCTAGTAGCATTGCACGACTTTATTCATGTAGAGATCTACGAAGGAAAACAAAGACACTAAAAAGGGGAGTGATGGAGACAACCCAAACTGCTTTACCCATTCATAAGTATCGAGTCATTCTGACTAATGTCTCTCAGCCTTTTTTTTTTCTTCCTGTAAATCTATGTAACAAACTTTAACCTCCTTTTAATTCAGTCCTCTTATTCTTCTGTTGGCTGTTTTGTGTGGGCGAGACTTTTAAACCCAACATTAAGGCGCCTTGATTTGCATTGTCTTTTTTTTGGGGTCCTGAGGTAATGACACATCAGTCTCTACTGGAAGTGGCTGCTGCCTGTAATAGGTGCAGCCCGATTGAGACGCGCTCACCCGGGCGCTACAGTCAAAGAGACAAGAAGGTGTCGCAGCTATATTTGGACAAGTGACAACACACAAAGTGGCCTGTTGAGTGTCGAATTAGAGCCGTGTCTGAAAACTGCTGGCACTCTCCTGGCTGTCATCTCGTTCACGGCGTGCAGAAAAAAAGGAAAAAAAAAAAAAAAAACCCTCCAACCTTGTGGCGGATTGCTGAGCAACTCGCTTTTCTCGTCTTTTGACTTCCTTCTCCTTCTTTTTCGGCCCGAATGCTAAAAATGTCCCTCTTTGCGTTTTTCTTTTCAAGGGGTTTTGTGTTTCTTTGATTTGATTTTTACTGCCAAAGTTCTGTCACACCGACTTACCTGTAAAACCAGTCCTGAAAAAGCTGCACACACGTGAGACAAAAGGCCTGGGAGGAATCAAAGGGAAGGGATCACTTAAGTTTCTGTGTTATGGGAGGGACTATTTTTCACCGTCAATCCCACGAGTCCACACACACCTGCGCTTGGTTTAGTATTTCTGGAGAACCTTTCTGATCTATTTATATGCCTTGATTGATCAAGACGTTCCTAGCCATCTCAAATACCAGTTTCCCTTGATGATTTTCACAATCACACACTGATACTTGGACACACACTCGCTCACAAACACTCTCACTAACTTGCAGGTTTAGTTTAGTTTAGGCTTTTGTGCTCATTTCTTACTGTTTTAAGAATGACTGTAGTTGCAAAAATGGCCTGTACATTTTTTTATCTTTTCCTGTTTCTACATGTTTTCTTCAACCTTGAATGGCTTTTTTTCCCCCATTTTCCGACTAATTCTAAAGAAGATGAACCAAAAGGATGAGTGGAGGATAGCGACCAAATCTGGATTTTGTGAAATTCCTGCTTTGCCTTGACCCAGCTCAACAGGTGTTGTGCAGCTTTAAAATGCACGATGGAAATGCAAAGAGTTTAGTTCCAGTAGCTGAAAAAAAAAAAAATTAAAACTGCCGGTGATTCAGATTATTTGAAGAGGAATTCCTCCAACAGAACAGAAACCACAGCAACCACTCGAAATCCCCCTCATCTCGGTGCTGATAACGTTTCAAAGGTTGCGTTTGCGCTCTTAATACTTATTTGACTTTCCTGGCAGTTGGGTTTTTTTTTTTGCCGGCGAACATATCGGCTTACCTGAACCACTGGATTGGACCCGTGGCGTGATTGTGCACATGCGTCCACAGTAAACCGGGTCCGCATGCGTCCTGTGTTATTCTTACACATGCCTTCTCGGCTCTGTTTGCTTAGAAAAAGCCTCGCCGTTTAAATGAAATCAACACAGAATCTCGACCACAAGGTCAAGATTTGTTTTTTCTTCTCCGAGTCACAACTCCATGCAGATGTAATGAGCTGAAACGCGATATCGTCCTCTAAGAACTATTAACATCAGTGCGTCGTGTTACGCGGAGAGGCCCAGGGGAGGAAAAACCGGAGGATTAAATGTGGCTGCCGCACTATTTGGTTTTTTAGACTTAAAATAACACCGGATACACCAGGACTCCCTTTGATACTCAGCATTATTGTCCGCCAATGGGAGATATAACCCTTCAATGTATTACAAAAAACCATCTAAAACAGTTTTATGGGTCTAGTACTGTTCACAACTGATTAGAAAAATGTCTTCCTCTATTTAAACGTATCAATGGTAGAATGAGGTCTATTCCCGTGGTGCCTTATCTGTGTCATTAACTGATTTTTTTTTCATATTGCCTAACTGAAAATGTACACATTCTGGAGCTTTGAGTCATCAGATATCAACAAGGAAGTGCGTCCAGAAAAAAAATGTTCACTGGGTGCACGCAATGGAAACAAGTGTGCTCAAAGTCAGTGAAAGCCTCTTTATGTCGTCCACGGAGATTCAAATGTCTCATGTACTTCAATAAATTTCCACGTTTTAATAAGCAGAAACCAGAGGTGACATCACCGGATTACTTTACAAGTGTGTGCGTGTGTGAGTGTGAGTGTGTGTGTGTGTGTGTGTGTGGTTTTCCCCACAGAAACAAAAGATCCTGTGTAGGTAAATGTTGGGCAAGTGTGTGTGTGTATGTGTGTGTGTGTGTATCTATTAATAACCCATGGGAGGCAGGGAAAGCATGAGACACTGGTCCTCCCGAATGTGTGTGTGTGTGTGTGTGTGTGTGTGTGTGTGTGTCTTTATACTGAAGCGGCCTTTGTTTCCTTGTACAAGTGTGTTCTCTTCTTAGTTTCCTCGGAATAATAACCTTATTATTCTTTGTTGTCATTATGGAGAATACAGGCTCATGTGAATGTGTGCGTTTGCCAAGTGATTTCTGACTCGGCCCATGCTACGCGCACACAAAAATGTTATGTCACATCATCCCAGAAAAAGAAGGAGCGAAACAACTGTGACTACACGGCCATGTCTTCCACTCGGTTCGATCCCAGGGGCCTTTGTTGGCCTTTGGTCAAACCTGTCTGGGCGATGTTTACTTCTCACGGTGCAACACCTGGCATAGCAGCACGCACATGATGTCAGAGGCATTTATTTCAGGCCTTTGCCGTGTACGTGTGTGTGTGTGCGTGTGTGTTAAGTTTTGGTTTCAACATCAGGCAGGTTTATGCAATAGGTGTTTGTTGGAGCCTGTTTTCTGTGTACTAGAGTTGTGCCTTTATTAGAATCCCTAATTGTAAACCGATACAGAAAAAAAAAACATAACTGAAATCTATGTGTGTGTGTGTGTGTGTGTGTGTGTGTGTGTGTATATATCCCTACGTGTGTATTCGTCTTAGAATATGATGGATTGTAAGATCATTTGTGCTTAACGCTGAAGCCCTTCGTCAATGTGAGTCACCGTACATTTTTTTGTGCATAGGCAAGAACAGATGTTTGTGCGTATGTGTGTGTGTGTGTGTGTGTGTTTGGGTGGGTGTGCGTGTAAAAATGTCATGGGCAGAAAACCACCCCGTGCCTTCTCCCAAGCTGTTCCCTTCCTGGATCCTGTATTTAGTGACCGATGAGGCAGTCTTTCCCACTGACTCACCAAATGCAATGCAAATGGCCCCAAAGAGCATGCAAAGAGCATGGAAATGTGTGTGTTTGCGTTAGAAAAAGGCTGACTGGCATGTGCGCGGAAACCAAAACAAAGCAGACACAACTCATTTTTATTTATCTATTTCTTTATTTACATCCCAAAAAACCCCTGAAAAACAGGCACACCTATAACGGCTCATTGCCCAACAGCTCCATACAGCTCCAAAATGTGACTTTTGAGCTTTTTATTTCTGAGTTGTGTAGCTACAAAGTATGAAGAATACTGTTTTATTTATTTATTTATTTATTTATTTATTTATTTATTTATTTATTTATTTTTAAGATCGGGTCACATTTACATCACAGTTGAGTCAAATGTCTCTAAGAGGAGATGAAGAAAACTCAACACCCTCCTTTTCTTTTCCCCCCCCGTTTCTCTTCTCCCAGATTCCTCCGTGGCAGTGCCGGCGTCCTGTTTTGCTCCGTCTCTCCATGGACCTGAGGGTGGGAGAGCGGGGGATGCGGCCTGGTTCCGACACGGTGCTCCTCTCCCCGCTGCACCCGCCTCTGCTCCTCACGCCTTTCTCCCCGCAGCCCCGCACCACCTTCTCCCAGCAGCATCTACATCAGCAGATCCGGGTAAACGCATCTCCACGAGGGGCCCATTTTGACCGAATGATGAGTTCAAGTGTTTGGTTTTGCTTTCTACACATTGCTGAATTCGGTTCTGTTTCGATGGGGACAGTTTAACATGGAGCAGAGGAGGCGGGAGCAGGAGCACCACGAGAAACAGCAGGAGTTACAGCAACTTAAACACAAAGACAAAAGTCAACAGAGTGAGTACATCCACATGCATACGCTCACTAAACCGTCACCTGCTACTACAAGCTTTTGGTAACCGTTTCTCTCAGAGAATTAAACATGACACCTTCAAAAATAATCATGGCCCGGTGAGCTATTCGCGGCTGGAGAGGAAAGTCCCTTTTTGAAGTTGTGCGGTTTTCAACGGTGACGAACTGCGTCACTTTACATTCAGGGCTGTTTGCTTTTAAAATGAGCCCTAAATATAACCCGACAAGTGGAGCTACAACATCAGAGTTAAATATAGTGTTAGGTCGGGGCGCGTAAAGTCACAGGGTCAATATTGACACGGTCAGTCGCAGCACCTGCTGTCACCCTGTTTGCACACACAGCGCACAACTACGCACACACACACACACACACACACGTTCTGAGCACACGCACTCAAACAAACGCGTCCCCATACAAAGCTGCACACACACGTGCATCCACACTCACCGCTGTGTGCATAAAAGTTGTTGTTTTTGTTTTTTTAGTTTTTTTTTGGCAGAATTGCTTCTTTTCTCTGGTTCACTTGCTGTGTTTATCTGAATTTATGCATCTAACAAGCAGCGGTGGCGTGCCCGGGGTCGGCTTTTCCCCGCTGATCCGTTTGTGCCGCGATTGGTTGGGGATCCCTTCCATTTTTCAATTAATCGGTCGTTGTCATTGGCTGGCAGGTGCCGTGGCGAGTTCCTTAGTAAAGCAGAAGCTCCAGGAAGTGATTCTTAAGAAACAGAAACAGGCGGCACTGGAAAGAACAAACTCCAACTCTCTGACTGCACACCCCGTCCCATACAGGTAAATACAGTGTGCATTTAAGCCAAGAACATAAGTCCAGCTACATGATATGACAATTCTTTTAATAAAATTTGTTATTTTAAATTACATTTTTTTCAAATTTGTTATTGAAACTGTCCTGTTGCGGTCAAATTCCTGTGTACTCTGTACATTTCTGATTTCTGAGGGTGCTTGCTTTCTGTTTAACCGAGTGGTTATTTTGTTCTTTCAGAAAGCTGGGCCCTGACCCCAGTCTGACCTCCCGGCCAATAGTCTCATCTCCATCACAGCCTCCGTCTGAGGGCTCCGAGGGCACACCGTTGCGCAGAGCAGGTGAAATATATCAGTCACCCAGTTTCCCACGCTGCCCGTACACTGAGGCGTGTAAATATATCCGTGTTCCGCAAAAACACGATGGCGTTAGATAAAGTTTTTCTTTCGAGATGACAGATCTGACTTGTTTGGCTGTGCATTTCGTCTCTCGTAGTGATGTTGGAAAAAGTTACAGGTCATATTTTGATGGAATGGAATAAACATTCAAACCCAAAAAAAGACCCCGCTGGACCCTTTTGGCTCTGCAGAGTGTGGCCACATTTAGTCAAAGATAGAAAAATGATAGCTTTAAGCAATCAGATGGCCATGAAAACAAAATTTTTCCTGTTGTCTCACATTTACATGCTAAGAAAACATAGATGAGTAAAAATCAATTAGACTTGATAGACTTTTTTTTCCCGTTCCGTCATTCCCTTTGAAATCTGCACATATTTTTCTATTTCTCGCTTAAATTTCCCAACTCGCAGGGTATTCTCATTTGATTATGATTAGTTACACATGTGTTTCCAGGGCTATGACGAGTCGAAATGTCTGCTGTGAAAGCTTTAAAGTAGCTTCATGTTTGAGGTTTTACAGCCAGCAGCCGCGGTGGGTAAAAGGGGTCTGCACACAACGGCGTTCGGTAACATTCCTCTTTCTCTCGCTTTCGTTTCTCAGCTTCCGAGCCGAACCTGAAGGTGAAGCACAAGCTGAAGAAACACCTGAACACCCGAAAGAGCCCGCTCACCCGCAAGGAGAGTGCCCCGCCCACCATCAGACACAGAGTGCCCGAAACGCTGGGTAATCGATCACAGCGATGCAGAGTCATGGCTTTACGCGGCCATCTTTTTAGCTATTTTTCTAATCTGAGAGTCACGTGTGATCTTAAGCACGAACGTGGGCAAAAACTCACCCGACTGTGTGCTTTTCCAGACTCTTCCCCGAGCAGCAGCAGCACTCCGGCCTCTGGATGCAGCTCTCCCAACGACAGCCTGCCCAGCGAGAATGGACTGCTGCCCTCTGCAGGCGGCCTGTCGCACGAGGTCAGAGCCCACACGCATTGTCCACTGCGTTGCGTGATATTCACAACTGCAAATAACCCGAAACACCCCATGTAACTATCTCTCACCGTATGTAGTGTAAATTATGATCACATATCTGCCATTCGCACATGATTATAGGACAAGGATATAAAGAGAAAGGTCCACTTTTTTGGCTCGTGTGAGGCGTTTTTTTTTGTTTTTTTGTGTGCGTGTGTTAAAAGGGCTGCTACATAAACACTGACTTTTTCGCGGCGTTGAGTAATGACATGTTTAAAGCAGCGACACAGGAGCGCGGCAGCTCTTGTTTGTCAGCCGTTTATGCATTATTCATTTAATCACGGAAAGTCAGGGCCGAACACCCTCGGTCACACCTGCTGTGGATGTCCTGACTCATTCGGCCGTGTCAGGTTCGGAGCCAGGGAACAAAAAGCTGAGCTTGATTTCATTAGACGCCGCAGATTTTGAAAAAACAGAAGAACGACGTGGTGTAAAACGCGTTTTGAGAATATGGAAAAACGTCGACTGTCGCTAAAGTGATGGTGCACTAAGAGGCCCGAGCGTGTAAAGTTTTTTATTTTGTGTTTCCAGGCCCAGAAGCTGCTGCTCAGAGATGGATCCCTGGCTAACTTCACCATCCAGAGCTCCTCCGCTCTGCCCACCATCACTCTGGGACTGCCGGCCAACTCCAGGGTAAAGGCAAGAGGGCGAGAGAAAAGGCCGAGAGTAAAAGTGGCCTTTTTCAAAAGCACACACAAGCATGACTTCAAAGACTTTGTGAAAGAAAATGAACTGATAAGTTTAACGGCTTTGACATCCTGTTTTTTAGAAGGAAGTGCGTCAGTCAAAGGAAGCACAGTGCTCTTAAAATGCTGCTTCACTCTGACTCAGATTTCTGTGTTACTTTGTTTTTTTTTTCAATATTTGTGATAAAATTTGAGAGGTTTAGGATTTATTTGTTTATTCATTTCTTTTTGTGCCATTTTGAGCTGATCGGTCTGTCGTTGAAGCCGTAATTGATGCCAAATCTTAAATTTACAGCGTTGTTTATCTGTGTGTGCAGGCTGAAGGGGAGCTGCCCTCCCTGAAAGTTGGCCGGGTTCCTGTGGTCACCCCGGGGGGCTCCCCAGTCTTCCTCCCCCTCAGCAGAGATGATCAAGCCGGTCAGTTGAACCCTCACTTGCCGGTCATCATCCTGGAGCCATCTGGTCTGGTGCACTCTCCACTTCTTACTGGTGAGACGCACACACTGTCCGCACACACACACACACCCATGTGCTTGAAGACCCCACGCTTTAAAAGTCAATAATCTTTCTATGAAAAGGAGGAAATGAACTGTTGTAGTCTTGCAAACTATAGCTGTAGCTCTTTTCAAACCAACATGGTCACAACCCTTAAAGACTAAACCCTTTCAAAGTTACAAATACTGTTAAACGAAACACGAGAGACGGTTTTTTTTTTGTCCTAAAAGGACAGATGTCCTGTTCCATTTAACTAGTGTTCACATACCCTGTTGCATGGACCCATGTGGAAAATATTACAAGGATTTTTTTTTTTTTTTTGCATTTATGTGTGACCAGTAAAAAATATACAACACAAAGCAGTGGTGATACTGGAACTGTGGTGTAAAGTGATTTGATAAAAGACAGTATTTTACCCCTGTTTTTGTCTGACGTCTCTGTCACCCATGCAGATATAATATAATTTCTTTTTTAAAAGTTCAATAAAGGCCGGGCCTCTAGGCATAATATATCAGAGGTTGTTAAGAATTAAGTTAAGACTTATGTCTCAACCTCTATTTTGTTAATATTCCTCTAATCCACTTTTTGTTTGTGTGATTTGACTACTTTGACCAAACAATCATATTCCATGCATTATGAATCCTACATATCTCTATTTATGAAAAAAGCAGATTGTAATTTTAACCTATTTTTAGCTTCATGTAATTCTTCCTCTGCCTTCTTAAACCTGTTCCTCTGCTCTCCACAGTTCCAGGCCTGGACTCTGTTCCGTTACCGTTTGCACAGCAGTTGGACCACCTGTCTCCAGCAGGTGTTCAGACCCACAAGCCCATAAGCAGAACGCGCTCGGAGCCCCTTCCTCAGAGCCCCCGCGCCCTCCACACGCATCTCATCCAGCAGCAGCACAGCACACAGCTCCTGGAGAGGCTCAAACAGCAGACTCACCTGGGCAAGGTACTCATACCATTTTACCATTTCCAACAGTTCTGGTCAAATTGAACTGGAAACGTCCTGAATTTGTACATATTTTTAGCTGGGAAGCAAAGGTAATTGCTGATGTAAATATTTTTCTGTAGATGAAAGCATCAGGTCAAGTTTGTCAGAAAAATCTCAAGGAAATATTTCAGAATCTGGGACACTTTATTTTAAATTCTGCTATACTGTAGTCCAGAGATATCTGCCTGCCATTAGCCCACCTCAGCAACTGTTTTTTAATTGTAGATATATTTATATTTGCTAAAACTTGAACTAAATGTGCATTCATTTGTCTGTGTTCTGTAGTTAATGTCCAAATCCGAGAAGCCCCGGCTGCATCAGATCCCGTCCGAGGACATGGACTCTGAGGATGGTGGCGGGCTGTCGCCCACTGAGTCCACCTATCACAGCAGGATGAGGGCGGAGTCACGGAGGGACGCAGAACCAACCGCGTCCAAGAGCCACGAGGAACAAATCAACCTGCAGCACGCCCTCATACTCAACCAGGTTTGGAAACTCTGAGCACTCACGAAGACATAAAGACTGCTGTTCTTCTTCAGTCCTGTAGATGGCAGCCTAACTCTGACTTACAGAGTTCCTGCTATGGCCTCGCTGTTTTGTCTTTAGAAAAAACCTGATGAAACAGTCATAAATTCGGCATCATGCTTAGTACTGGAAGCTTATTCTTTGGGGAAACGATTGTTTAAAGATCAGGGAAATCACTGTTGGGGGTGTTTAAGAGCACAAAGAAATCCAAAAAGCATCCTCCACGTTAAGTGAGGGCTCTGCTAAATTCTGGGGCCTACAGAACATATGAATATGTACTCAATCTCTTCACCTCTAACTCATACTTACTCTGTAAGCGTCTTTCTTAACGTTCATACAGTGTACAAAACAATGGAGCCTAACTAGTTCTTTAAGGACTCGTGTTTGCATCATGGAATTGTATCAAACTGCATTTTATTTTATTTTATTTTATTTTTTTTTATTTATTTTATTTTATTATTATTTATTATTATTATTATTATTATTATTATTATTATTATTATATATTTAATTTTATTCTATATTTTTATATTTTTATTTCTACATTGTATGTCCTTTTCTGTTTTCTCATAGAAGTGTTGTGCACCAAACACCAAAGAAAAATTCCTTGTTGGTGAAAAACCTACTTGGCAATAAACCTAATTCTGATTTCTCCTGGCTTGACTCTGCTCTCTGTCGGTGGACAGTCGCTGCTTTGGGAGCAGCAGAAGCAGCTTCAGCAGCTGCACCGACAGATGGAGACCCTGGGGGTACCTGTGTTACGTGGCGCGGGCGGGGTCGGAGGCGGTCTGGCCGTCCACCGCCCCCTGTCCCGCACCCAGTCCTCTCCGGCCTCCACCTCCCTCACCCTGCCCGAGAAGCCCCTGAGCCTGGCCGCGCAGGACACCGGCAGCAAACCACGCTTCACCACCGGTGAGTTGGGCTCACTTTTATGCCGAGGGGTCGAGAGGAGTGACCAAATGTGTGCAACCTCCCGATGACCCTTTGATTTAAGCGGCCTCAGTCGGTCATCGGAGGGTTGTGCATCAGCCACCTCTCGACCGGGGTCAGCGTTTCGCTTTCAATGTCTTTGTTTGCAGTGTTGGGGAGTAACGGATCACATGTAACGACGTTACGTAATTTCATTACCAAAAAAAAAGTAACCGTAATTCGTTACAGTTACAATGAGAAAATATGTAATTCAGTTACCGTTACTTCCGAAAATATTAAGAATTACAAATTTAGTTACATTTTTTAAAAAATATAAAGAAAAACCGTTGAAAAATATGCAAGTCACTGATAGACGAAGCGTATTGATTTACTAATATTTGACTGTTTGGTGTTGATGCATGACAAACGTTTATCGATTTCTATGACCTAGCCTAGCCTAGCCTACCTAGCCTACACAACTGTAGGGTGACCAGACGTCCTCTTTTTCCCGGACATGTCCTACATTTCAGACTAGGGTTGTCAAAAGTATCGATACTTAAAAAAGTATCGATACTAAAATGTTGTATCCCGATACGACTGACCTGCTGTCGCTGCGCCCCTTGTCTCCGATTTATTTATGGATTTATTTACGTTGTTTATGATCATTAACAAAACTTTAGCCTTGAACTGCTAGCTGCGGCCAATAGCTAATAATAACATGCTAAAATTAATCATGGGTCAATACTCATTAAAACCTTAAAGTAATCAAAAAGTATCAAAAGTAATTACTGACATTACTTTTTAAAAGTAATCAAAAAAGTTACACTACAATTCAATTTTAAACAAGGTCACTTGTAACTGTAACGGATTACATTTTTAAAGTAACTTATCCAAAACTGTTTGTTTGTGTGCGCAGGTCTGGTGTACGACTCCCAGATGCTCAAGCACCAGTGCACGTGCGGAGACAACAGCAGCCATCCCGAACACGCGGGCAGAATACAGAGCATCTGGTCCCGGCTGCAAGAGAGAGGCCTCAGAGGCCAGTGTGAGGTAGGGCACGCGCGCACAGACTCACTTCCAGGGCCAAAACAGTCCAGCGTCAGTGTTTTTTTACCTTATCTGTTAGCTGAGTGGATGCAGACGCTGAGATAGGCGGGGCGAGGCAAATTTATTTGTATATTTTTATTTATTTATTTATTTAATCAGGACAGTGCACATTAATTAACATTCTCATACATATTGTAAATTAGCCAGATTCTAGCATAGTTGCTAATTCGCATCTGTCGTCCTGAGGCAGGAAGACAAAACAACACAAAATCACATAATACAATATCAGTTAAAACAGAGAGAAACACGTTCAGACAAGGACATTTAAAAAAAAAAAAAAAATTAGTGATTGCATGACTGGGAACTTTTGAGAAACAGTTTAAGGTGCTTTTTTAATTGTGCAATAAGTGGGACCTTCCCTGATGTTTGTTGGGAGGCTGTTCCAGAAGTGACCCCCTCTGACTGATAGAACGGTTTGTCCATATATAGCACAATGTATAGCACAATACGTGTACAAGTCAAGTCGAAGTGCTTTACATAAAAGATTCAAAAGACAAAAGTGAGAGTTTAAAAGCAGAAATTCGGAAAAAAAATTAAAACAGGTTATAATTATCGGTTAAATAGAGTGAAGTGTGCAGACAAATTGCATCTGGTTGTCATATAACTGTTTTCACCTTGGATTTACACACTGTCAGAGTTGAGGCCTGTCTCACTTCTTCTAGATTCTTCTGTCTGCGACTTTTCTTCCTCATTTAAAATCACATCCCCTATCCTTAAGCCACAAACAGTGGGGGAAATAAGTATTTGACCCCTTGCTGATTTTGCAGGTTTGCCCACTTACAAAGAATGCTTATTTTTCCTCATCAGATGGTTATCAATTTTTATAAATTCATATGATGTGATTTTCTGGAATTTTCTTTGGGATTCTGTCTTTCACTATTAGAATGTACATTTGATTAAAGTTATAGATCGTGGCATTCTTGGTAAGTGGGCAAACCTGCAAAATCAGCAAGGGGTCAAATACTTATTTCCCCCACTGTATGTGATAAAAGTGCATTAGATTAAGCTTTTTTGGTCTTTCTTTCCATCCAGAGTATCCGTGGCCGTAAAGCCACGCTGGAGGAGCTGCAGTCGGTTCACACGGAGCGCCACGTGCTGTTTTACGGCACCAACCCTTTGCACAGACTCAAACTGGACAACCGCAAGCTGGCTGGTGGGTTGTCTCCCTTTATTCCATTCCTGCATCTTCCCACTCTTAAAATTATATTCAAAATGGTGCACAGAAAATACTTGAAACTCGCACGTTTTTTTTGTTTTAGGAATCCTCTCCCAAAGGATGTTCGTGATGCTGTCGTGTGGGGGTGTCGGGGTAAGAGAAAACACCCATCTGCACAACATGCCCCACCGGAGATGATGTGGTTTCAAAGAGACACAACTAAAATGAGCGAAGGGAGAATTGAAAAAAAGACCGAAATGAAAACAGGATATTAAAGAGGAAAGGATAGAGGGCTCAGCTCGCAGTGCTGATGTTGGGCTGGCGGTCTGTGTTGAACCGTGACAAGTCGGACTAATGAAAGCAGCATGGCCGTGACCAGGGATGAAAGAGATGCCTTAGATTCCAATCCAGGGGCCAGATGGACAGAAAATCTAATTGTAGGGTAATATAGTGTGCGAGAGTAAAAATTCGTGTTAAAGACAGTTGAGACCAATCCAGTATTTAGTGCGACGTGTGGTTCCACGTGCACGGATGGGTGTGGATGGCTCCCTGTGAAGTCCGCCATGCTTCCTTTTTGATTAACAGGTGGATAACGACACCATCTGGAACGAGCCGCACACCACCACGGCGTCCCGCATGGCGGCAGGCAGCGTTGTGGAAATGTCGTTCAGGGTGGCCAAAGGGGAACTGAAGGTGAGAAACTCTGGTTCAACATCAGGCAGAAAGACATTCTGTGAACGCCACACAGCCAGTTTGAATCATGCATGAATGCATGTTTTTCTTATTTTTATTCTGTGCAGACTGTGGGCATTTTATAGCAAATATTAACTCATTTGCAAGACAATCTGAAACATATCTTGAATGATGGTTGCAAAGATGAATGCACATGATCCTGGATGATTTTAGATGATTTTATTAGAGGCGACATACAGCACATTTTTAGCCTAGCACTTCTTGAAATTCCTCTAGGTTTATATTCTTTGTAAATCACTTTGAAGCCATATGAGCTGCAGATATTAAGGCTTTTTTAAAAATCAAAAACAGAAGCTACTCAACAGTTAGTTATGTAAGCGCGTACAAGCCAAGAGAAAAAGGTCTTGTCGAGATGCATGACAGGTTTGATTACGGTAGAAATATGGGTGTTTATTTAAAGTTTGATTAAAGCTCGTGTCTTTCGGTGAGGCGGAGATGAATAGCGTCTTTCTTTTTCTGCACAGAACGGCTTTGCTGTGGTCAGACCGCCAGGGCACCATGCGGACCCCTCCAATCCAATGTAAGTCTGCCCCTGTGTTGGTGTCTGTTTCAGCCTCTTGTTCTATCCAGCCAGGAGCTTTGCCGGCTAGTCTGAAGCTTTGTCTCAGCAGATGCTTGTGAAGGCCAGAGAGAAGACAAAATGTGAAAAAATGTGAAATTACTTTCTATCTGACCGTTTGGTTGATTCATAAAAAAAAAGTATCTTTAGCTGAAGCTAAAACTGTTAAAAAATAACATACCATAAAATATGCCACATAATAGTTCTGATACAACTCAATTCAAATGTGAGTGATCAGTGATATTTGATTAGCATGTTTTTTAGGCTCATGTGTTATTTCTAAAGCCCAGACTTTAACACGTTTATTTTTAATTGAATAATTACGGTGAGAATCATTAGATTTAATTGAATTCCATCTTTCTTGAGTCCCTAATTTTTGGGTTCCAATTTCAATTTGAGCCATGAATAAGAAGCCCGGGACACATGTGGGTTCATCAGCTTGGCTCGTCTCCATGGCACCCAGTCTGTGTAGCAGGCACACTTTGCATTCCCATAATTCTGCTTTGGTTGGTGCCATGGCAAAGATTTTAGCCCTTTCTGAAAGTTAAGACATTGGACTTAACAAAAAACAGGCATGAATGCTTTAAAACAGCGTAACGCTCATGCAGTTCCACAATCAATCGTAACATTCTCCATCTTTGACCCCTCTACCCATCACAGTGCGGGTCACACTGCTGGTCACACCGCTGGTTGTTGGACTTGTTGAACGTCGCTTGACCCCGGTTGTTTTTTAAATTCACGTCTTTGCCTTTCAGGGGTTTCTGTTACTTCAATTCTGTGGCAATAGCTGCCAAGCAGCTCCAGCACAAGCTCAACGTCAGCAAGATCCTGATTGTTGACTGGGTAAGACCTTTGTTTACTCTCTTATCCTCAAGCAAAAACGATTTTGCGTGCTCATCTAATCCGTGCAGTTATTAGTGGTCGAATATCCAGGATTGTGGCTTTGGATTTTGTTTAGTAATAACCTCCCTCACCCGTCCTCTTAGGATGTCCACCATGGTAACGGCACACAGGAAGTGTTTTACAGTGACCCCAGCGTTCTCTACATCTCCCTTCATCGCTATGACGACGGAAACTTCTTTCCCGGCAGCGGGTCACCAGCTGAGGTGGGTGAAAGCCTGATTTGAACTGCAGAACTACGGATATGGGATCGGCCTAATCGGTTTTGGTTGGCTTTAGGTGGGCACCGGAGCGGGTGAGGGCTTCAACGTGAACGTGGCATTTACAGGAGGACTGGAGCCACCGATGGGGGACGCTGAATACCTCGCCGCGTTCAGGTAGAACCCAACTCTGAGATGTCATTAGCAGTTTAAGGGATGAAAGTGATCGTATGCTGCTTTCGTTTATTTCTTGACAGTCGGGTTGAAACAGGATTTCCACAGAGACTTTACCAAAAGATTTACATAACTCTTGACTTTTTGTCCTCACAATAATTCTTCAACATCTTCATATTTTGTTTACAAATCTGAATCCTCATTTTTTGTAAAATACTACATTGCTTGTGCTGATTTGAGTCTGTATCAAGGAGAGACATCTAGTGGACAACACGCAAAAAATCATATTTACTCAATTCAATGCCTTTTTAAAATTTCACGACCACCTGCGTAGTATTTTGTTGTCGAGCTGTAATTGGACAATTCCTGCCATTTCCTCAACACAAAGCCACAACAGACGCACTCTAGCTGATCAGAGGCTCGGCCCTGCGTCGCCTCTGACGTACTTCTTGCGTAATTAATAATCCTTGTCATTTGGGGAGCATGTGTCTGGCGCTCCCCGTTTCCAATACCTTCAGATGTTTTACAGTAAATGCTCTCCAGGTCTTGTGTTTGACAGTTTGCGGACTGTTGCTTCCTGCTGGTGGGTTGGATAATAGTCACTGGTGGGTGTTTTAGCTCCAATAAAGGTTCAGCGGTGTGGGCCTGTTGGTCGTCTGGTGCTTCAGACCCCAAGGAAACATTGGCAACCGCATGGTTACTGGAATAGAGGCACGGTGGATCGCACCCAGACTTAAAGGGTGGGTGGATGGGGAAGGGGGGAGGGCTATGCATGCATGGGTCTGCTTACATGAGCTCCAAACAAACATACGGGGATAAACATTGAGTTCCTCTAATGAATGAGCCACGATCCTGAAACCAATAAAAACACAACATCTATATGTCATTGTCAGCTGAAGTTAAAAGACTTTGGTCAATTACTCGCCTCTAAATCTGTTATAATTCAGAGAATTTATTTAATGCTTCGGGAAAAAAAAAGCATTCTGACATATAAGTTATTTACGGGATGACGTTGACCTCTGACCTTTCTGTGGAGCATACCAACAGAAAGGTGGACAGATCTTCCAGGGATGACCATTCAGACTGGGAGGGTGCAGGTTGGTTTCACCCAATGCCGGCTGTCTTTGGGATGGAACCAAATATGACAAAATATGTAAAAGTCAACCTACAGATGAGGCTGAGTTACCGCCACATGAACTTTACGCATGTGTAAAACAAATAAAGTCGACCGAACAGAGTTTAACACACGAGCTCGGCGGGTATTCGCGGATCAGGTTTGAAAACTAAAGAAACCGAGGCTTGTGAATCACCATCCTGTTATGTTAGCTACAGGAGGGGGTTTCAGTGTGAGAACTGTCGGCATAAAGCAAGGCCTTTTTTTCTTCTTCGATGAAGTGGGAGTAAAATAATTGAAGAGATCTTTTTTTCCCCGTATATCTGATTTACCATCTGCACCCAGTGCTGCAGTTCGGGGGTCTGTTAAAGTTTGGTGCCCTTCATTTCTAAATCTTTACATCAGTGAAAGAGGAAAAAACTAAACAAAACGTGTGCATCTAGTTGATATGAAATCCGATTTTTACGTCCCCCAATTGTAACGCTTGTCTACACGTTCGAATGTGTAAGAAGACATTGGGGAGATTGTCCTTTGCATGCCGAGGCCTCATAATCTCCTTTCAGCCCTAATGAGGAGGCGGTTTGCTTTAACAGCTTGAAAATGGAGTCTCCCACCTCTCTCCACCCACCACTTAAATGGCTGCTCAGCCGCTTTGTAATTGATAAAGTTTTAAAGCGTGCCGTGGTCTACGTGTAAAAGAAAATCTCGAGCCTCTTTAATGGGATGCATTTTATGGGTGTGTTTGTGTGTGCCTGAGCTTCAGAGAGGGGGGCTTTGCTGCATTTTCACCTTATCCTTCACTCGCACCCTCCTTATTTTCCATCACCCCGACCAGCACACGTTCTCCCTCTTCCTGTCGTCCCTTGATTGATCTTTAATAAGCATCCCCTTCTCCCCTTCACCCTCCATCTTTCCATTAGTGTGTCTGCTTTAATGGTTCTGCTGGGGAGGCGGGGTTGGGGTTTTGTGGTCGGGTATTGTTTGCATGCCTGTATATATATGTGTGTGTGTGTGTGTGTGTGTGAGTGCATGCTCTTGATCCATGTCCACATCAGTTTGATTAAGTGTACGGCTGCTTTATTGATTATGTGGCGAATCTGATCTTAAACAGCCAACTGCCGCAAGATGAATTCTCCTCTCCTCGTTCGGCTCTTGCATGTGCAAAAGGGGATATTAGCATTTAAATGCTAATGCTGGAATGCATATGCACGCTTCCACCCTGTGCTCATTTCTGTCTATGAGCTCATGTTGACTTCTCGCATGTGATCGTGATAGCCGCGTGTGCGTGTGCGCTAAAGTGTGTGCGCACAAAGACGTGGAGGGAGGAAGGTCTCCAAAGTCCCCGGGCAGAATAATGAAGGTAAATGGATCCCAGATGGACTGCTTTTCCTCTTTTCTCTCTGTTCAGTGACGTGAGGAGAGTGACAAGCCCCTAATGGGAAACAGACTTGCGCGCTGCCGCTTTGAACCTCACCGACAGCACGGAGCTGCATAGTCAACCCACCCCCCCACCCCCCCCACCCACCTCTGGACAGCATAGCTTTCCTTCCTAACAACAATAGCATTAAGGAAATATGCATCTGATTCAAGTCCACAAACAAACTGTGCATGAGATCTGACATCAGCGTGTCTTTGTTGAGTAGATTTGTCTCAGCTGAGGCTTTTTAGGGCTTCTCCCGCACAGGAACAATAGTCCTTTGTCAGCCCCTTTTCGAGCTGCTGAGTCTGGGATCTGCCAAAGCTGGGTTTCACTTGTCAAGTTAATGACTTCTTTAGAGCGGATCAGGAATATTTGTTATGTTCAGGAGGCTGTCCAGTTTGGAGATGCCCAGTTTGATATGAAAACGGCTAAATTTCACAGGTCAGTCTTCATGTGTGAGCGGGTTAAAAAACAATCCACCTTTGAGTCTGTATGTCATGAACCTCTGCGTCCAAATCTACTTGGATGTGGGCCACTGCTGGTTGTTACCGAGAAAATATTTATTTCTATGGCTGACAGCTCCGGACAGGCTGTTTTAATGTGTCTCATCTTTTTTCTTCATATCTCAGTCAAGTTTGTGCTTGAATGAAAACGGAATCCTATTCAATTCTTATCTTAAGATGTGCAGCATATTTTCTGAATGTATACACTTTAAGTTGTGTCTAGCATGAAGTCGCTGTGTGTGAGTGGATGAAATAGAGTAGAAATTATTCTTAAATGTGGAAATCGGGGATAAAAACTATTACACAAAAAAAAAAAAAATCATATCACTACTCACTAAAGTAAGTAGAGGCAGGAGATCCATAACAGAATATTGGTTAGTAAATGACATGCTTGCACACACTTTTGAGCGGTGTTAAGCTCTAATGCACCAGATCTTTGGTCGATCATTTCAGTCATGGTGGGCTGTGTGTGTGTGTGTGTGTGTGTCTGCAGGTCTGTGGTGATGCCCATCGCCCAGGAGTTCTCCCCCGATGTGGTTCTGGTGTCGGCTGGGTTCGACGCTGCGGAGGGAAACCCTCCCCCTCTGGGCGGGTACAAGGTCTCCGCCAAATGTAAGCACCAAGTGAAAGGCCTCACCTCCGTTCCTTCTTTTCTTTTCCTTCTTTTTTTTCTGTCCGGAACAAACGTTGTTGAGAGCTTTACTTTGCGGGCCGTTGGTTGCCTTCACAGACAATCCTGAAAGGGCAGCATTGTGCCTTGTGCTGTGCCTCGTTCGATCCCTTATGTAACAATAATTATCGTGATTAGTAGCAGGTTTGTTGGAGCGGGAAGATAGAAAACCCCGGCAAAACTGGTCGGCAGCTGTTTCGGCTCACCTTGTGTTAACATGCATGCGTCTGTGCACCACAGGTTTCGGTTTCCTGACCCGCCAGCTGATGTCCCTTGCGGGGGGCCGTTTGGTTTTGGCCCTTGAGGGGGGTTATGACCTCACGGCTATCTGCGATGCGTCTGAAGCCTGCGTCAGTGCACTCCTCGGAATTCAGGTAACGAATGCTTAGTAAAAGAGTGAACTTGTATAGTGTAGCTCTAGAATGCATCTTTGAAGCTTCTTAAAAATTCCCCGAAATGAGCGGGTTAAAAAGTAACACTATTTTAACTAAACTGGTATTTTCCTCCTTCTTCGTCTGCTTAGGATCCAATGCCAGAGGAAACCCTGCTCCAAAAGCCCAATGCCAACGCCGTCCGCTCCCTCCAGACTGTCATACAGATACAAAGTGAGCAGCAGTGCAAGCTGACGACTTCTTGGCTTTTGGTTTTGAACGCCAAACCGACACGTTTTTTGCGTACGTTTCAGGTCAGTACTGGCAGAACGTAAAGGCTTACGGAGGGGCGGTGGCTCTGTCGCACCTGGCTGCTCAGAGAAAAGACTGCGAGGAAACGGACGCGGTCAACGCTTTGGCCTCGCTGTCTGTGGGGGTCATGCCCAACAAGAGGTACGGTCCATACCCCGCTCAGTGCCCCACGGGCGATCCGATACACCCACACCTCTCGTTAACTCATTGACTGCCCGTTTTTGGAGCATTTTGACTGATTTTTCAAGAGCCACAGAATAGTTTGTGCTATGACTATCTAAACACCGAACACACCAAAAGAAAGAGTAGACTCTCTTCTTTCATCAGTAAAAAAAGATTGTTTCTACCTTATTCCGTTCTTCCTCGAAGTGCGTCTCACCGGCGACATGTTCTCTCATAGCGAACCGTTAAGTTTTTTTTATTTGCCTACAATCTATGCTCATCTCTCATCAAAAGTGGCACTGCCCCCTAGAGGGTCAATTTGTTACTACATACTCTGTCTAGAAGCCGATATTTACGGACAAGCATTAGCAGATCGTCCCCCAAGCCACTCTCGTTGAAAAACATAAACGACGTCTATAGACGTCTTTGGCAGCCAATGAGTTAACTTTAAACCTCTAAATGACGCCTGCTTTGTTTCGCTTGCTTCCTTTTAGCCTCCCCGACGAGCCAATGGAGCATGACAGTGACTCCATGTAAGACAGTTCAACCGATCACCTCACGGAAGTTGCTTTTTCACGGAGCGTGCGCCACCTGTGGCCTTGGATCTCCAGCGCTGTCGCATCGCCACTGAGCCCCCGCCCCCCCCCCACCTCTAGCCTTCTTCTCACTCGCGCCGCGGCCGGGGCTCCACGCCAGAGCCGCCGATCGGAGCGCGGCTGGGCCGTCAACGGCTGGGCCGAGGCCCAAACCTCGTAAAACCTCACCAAAGAGCAGTTCAAGTTCGTTTTGACTTTTCGTTTTTTTTTTCATGACTGACGTCGGACTCGTGTCTACGTGCCGAGGTTTGGAGCCACAAACCTCTGATTCACCTCGAAGCACTGTGTCCCAGCAGCTGACTTGTTGCCTTAACTTTGCCTTATTTTAAGACCAACATCAGGTTTCAGGGGGAAAAACGACTGTGGATTATTGATTGCTTTTCCCCTCTACCGCATTGCCTCACATATCAGAGTTCAAGTAAATGCTGACCAAACGAGTTGCAAAACGATGGAGAGCGAAACCCACTGTGACAGCAGGTGTAAAGCATGTGCATGTGCACGTGCACGTGTGCTTGATGGATACAATGCAATAAAATCTCCAAGAAAAAGTCCAGAGGAAGATGAGAGTATAGATGGAGATAGCCTGTTTTGATGATGTCATTACATACAGTTTAACCACTAAAACACAACAAAGAACTCCAGGAAACGAGAGAACAGGAGGACACAAAGTGGACAGCTCTGGTTATGTATATAAAAAAAAGAAAAAGAAAAGACAATGACCCTTTGTTGTTTTATTGCACTGTTCATTCCATAATGTGAACCAGAAGAAATTCCAAAGCTCTGGGATAAAAAGTCCTCTCTGTAGATTATTTAATTTTTTTGTTTTGTTTTTTTAAGATTTGGATGATGGTGACGCTCACCATCTTTTTTCCCAGTTTTCATCTGAGATGTCTTATAAAGTCTCTTTGTCTTTACGTATGGGCTTAAATACTGTAAAGTTGTGTTTCCTACTAATTCAATTTGACAAGTAGGCAAGATTTTAGGATCAAGAACTTTTTCCTCTGCTGTTCAGTGTCTTATTTTACCATTCGTACACATAAAGAAAAACAACACGCGTCTGAAGCAACATTGGACCATTATTGTACCACTAGTATTGAATATTGTATGTTATTACTTATATTTGAGACGAAAGGAGTGTTCATTCCACCCTGGCACCACTGAGGACCATTGTATTGTTCTTTCTTAGCGATACTGTTAATGCACTTAATGGACATCATCCAAAGAAAACTGCCTTAAACGGCCTGCTCTTGGTAATGGGACTGTATAGATGAAATACAAGAACAGGTATGAACATTCTGCTTTTAAAAGACAACATTTGAACCTGTGGATTTAGATGAACATCACATATGCAGTCGTTTGTATACCGTTTGCTTATATGTGTACAATGACCTGATCTGGTCTGAATGTTTTCTTTACCTTAAAAACTTTAGTCACACTCAAACTGATGCATTTCGTTTAGTTTGTTGGATAAAACCTTTTTTATTGTGTGTGTGCTTTTTTTTTCTCTCTCTCTCCGAATTGTACTTGATGATAAGTGTTCTCGTGACACAGCTAGCCCAAACAGCACAATAGAGTATTTCGTCTAGCCCGAATTTGGTCATTTGAGGACAATTTTGTGACCTCCGTGCTAGAAGGCATGTAAGGGCTTCGCATGACAACATTAGACTGTTTTTTAGTTTGGAGGTTATTGTTTTGCAAAATTGAACTTACTATAGTTGTTTTGTTTTAGGTTTTTGATGACCATTTCTCGTGTTTTAAGGTTGGAGCTGGAGGGCATTGAGTCTTAATTAATGGCCAAAAGTAAAGGAAAAATTCTAACTTAGTTTAAGTTTTAAAAAAAAAAGATAATCTACACACTAAACTCTCCTGAAACTTAAAACTAACATAATTCTGATTTGGGTAGTTTTTTTTGGCTGGCGTTCACTTGGCCGTGAGAAGTGTTACCAGTTTGGGATCCGGTCAGAAAACCGTGCGGGTGCTTGTTTTGATCAGGCCCAATTCCCCGTATGTATGCTGAGGAGCTTTACCTGTAACGGTTTCACAGTAAAGACCAAAATTTCAGATCTCACTGTAGCGGAGGTCCCACTGTTTTTGAAGAATAGGTCTGTTTGAGAGGAAACTTTAGAGAAAGTGTTCCTGAATGAGTGGAACCGGTATGTAGTTTGCTCTTTGCAGGTGTTTCCAGCATTGACATTACATGCTGTGTATGTTTGAACTGTCAGTGAAGTGAATGTCTGAGTGTGTGTGTGTGTGTGTGTGTGTGTGAGAGAGAGAGAGAGAGAGAGAGAGAGAGAGAGCACTGGTGATTACACGTGCACTTGACTTGTACATATGCACACTTCTGTCATGCATTTGTATGCGTTAGTGTCTGTGTCCCCCAGATACTGTAAATTACCTTTTGTATTATAATCCTAGTGGCTGATTTTTTTTTTTTTTTCTACTTGTGTAGAGGCCAGTACTGCCTCGGCTCTTAATTCTCTTTCATTCTCTTGTAAATTCTACCTTCTTCTTAAAGAAAGACACTGTAAATAGAAAACTCGAAGACCAAAATACACATCACACGTGTGCCTCGATGCATTCAGTAGCATGTGTATTTGCAACTCTTAGTTAACTGGACTCTCAGTAACTCTGTATCTCCGAACATGACATTGAAATTTTTATTTCATTCTATTTGTAACTTGCTTGGATTTTTTCCACATTTCCCACCATGTGTATGTATAGAAAGATTGTCTATTTTCTACTTTTTGTCTTTCTTCTTGATTAAAAGAAATATTTCCACTATATGTATTAAAGTCTTGAATTTCTCCACGTTTCCATGTTGTGTCTGTAGATTGGACCTAGATTATTTATATGTCTATATACAGATGTAGCATATCTACATATTGATAGATTCATTTGGTTTTTTTTGTAAAGCATACTAAAGATTAGCTACTTACTGTATATTTAGGGAAAGACACATCTAACATCTTCTGTCAGACTTTGTACATACAGATTTTGCATTATATTAAAACCAATACACTCCAAAACATTTTACACACATTATTCTTTTAAATCAGTTTATTTCCAGGAGGATGCATTTAACGGGCTTTAGTATTGGTATATTTTTGCTTGTTTTTCCCATATGTTCTGATCAGTTGCAACATTTTATGCTAATATACTACTTTCCTATACTTCGCGCATTGTGAAATGTACTAATATTTAGATTGATCCGCAAAGATTCTGCCTAAACAGCCCTGATTTGGAGCACTTCAAATCATTCAAGCTTTCTGAATTTTCAGAGGAAAACGAGGACCCGCTAAAGTCAGTGTAAACGCACAGGTGGGTACTAAAATGGATCAAGACAAAAGCCAAATGTGCCTCTGACCATCTTTGATTTACTTGCTGGTTTGTGTTTTTTGGATTAATTCATTAATTTATTTTTTCACAGCTTTCTAATTAATTGTGTGTAAGGGAAATAAAATACAATGATTTGCAAATAAATGTCCACATATACTTATTTGAATGTACCACAGAATGAGGAACAAATACTTTCTCCACACAATGACATTTCTGTAAGCAGTGAGGCTAAAATCCAACGCTGAATGCCGGTGACCCTGAACCCCTCGGCCAGCTCGGTGCTGAAAACATCACTCTGTAAAGGATATCACCACTCGGGCTCAATAACACTTCAGGACACTTTGTCAGTTGGCGCAATTCCCTGCTTCGTGTCCAAGTGAGAGTTCAAACGCAAAGAGAAAGCCAGATATCAACAGCCTGGGTTGGACGGATGCAGCATCCAAAATGGGTTGTGGCCTGACCAGTACTCCTTTCGAATAGTTTTTGGGAATCGTGGCTGCAGAGTCATTTATCAGCATCTGTGACGATACAAAGCTGTTAGTGAGGGTCATCTGTGAGGGGAGGGCTAATGCTGTGAAGCCTACACAAGTTTCAAACTGTTCATGCTATTGTAATGAGTTGAACATCAATTGGGAAAAATTTCATGTCTCAATTCAATTGGAATATAGTTGTAGATACAAGGCCGCTTTCCAAATGGAGTTTAATTATTTGAAAAATGACCAATTAGCTTATTGAAAATAAATTGTTGTATGTATCGAGTTGCTCAAGGTTTGAGGTACTTGGACTATTTATGCCCATGTCAATTTAGAATGTTATTTTTCATAGTTTATGTGAGAATTTGTGAAATTTTGATTGCATGAACACAAGAACATGCCAAATAATATTAAATTATTAGCCTCCTTTAAAAAGCCTCGAGCCTGTACGGAGAACTGAATATGAATAGCACTCTAAGTCAAATGACACAGATCTAGATAGTTAAAAAAGAACTGGAACGCATCATTAGTTTGATATATTGACTGAATATTTAAAATGGACAGAATAAATGTAATATTTACAATGCCATTTCAGGACTTCTACATAGTGTGAAGTTCGAAAAAAACCTTAAGCAAGTAAGTTCACTCCAGTTTACAAACACACCATATTTCTTCTTAATCTATTAATTGCACAGCTTTTAAAAGTTTAAAAGTTTACTCATACCTCATGTCAAAGCTTTAATGATTAAGCTGTGACTAAAGTGGCAGGATACATGAGCTGAAGCCCACTGTTGCTCAACTGAAGAGATGGAGTGCAACTATAGCATGTAATTTAGGTCCAAACAGGCTATAAATATTGCCTGAGCCTTTAATTGCACATTAACTTGTTCTTCTTGGAGGAATTAACTGTTCCTGAATGACCAGGCAAAGGCACAAAGATCTCGTTAAAAAAAAGCAAGACTTTTGGGCAGGAGGGAGGAAGGGAAAGGAAGGGAGTCGATTTAACAAGAGAGACAGGAGACAAAGAGGGTGGGGTGGCAGAATAAATCTCTGCACTGTTAGTCACCGTGTTTTTTCTAAAAAAGAAAAGAAAAAAAGTGCATGAGCTTCTGGAAAAGAATTTCTCAACAAGAAAAAAGTTGACTTCTCTTTCTATGCGCTAAACCCCGTTTGACGTCCCCGACCCCGTGATTGAAACAGCAGGAATGGAAGAAGGGAGTGGAGATGTTTGGGATCACACTCAGTTTATTCAGCAGCTGGAAAGACAAAAAAAAAGAGGCAAACATCTTACCGCAGAGACCCCTCAAATGAACATCCCAGTCGAACGATTCAACATTGGACGTTGAACAAATTAAATAATTTCCACGTCCTGCTTCCTGGTAAAAACAGACACACGCGGGCGGGTTTTACGACCCCTAAGGTACCACAGAGTGGAGATAAATCCTCTTTTTTGGAACACGGATTGTTATTTAAAAAAAACGAAAATAACGCAATACACAAATTTAGCATTCTTGCACTTCGACGTGTGCTGGGGCTTTTGCCCCCGCCTCTCTCCTGGACCAAAATTGATTTCTTTTTCAAATGTCAAGTGTCTTCTAACATGTCGGTGTAGTTAAGCCCTCTGAGCCCACGCTGCAGTCACGCCGAGCTCAGAAAAAGGCCTCCATAAGTCTTCACGGAGGCTGGAAACTTAAGCTACCTCCACGGACCTTCTAATGATAGGTTCCTGGGTCTTTGTGCATTTTGGCAGCGAGGGGAGAAATGGTCCCGTCACGGAGGTATTTTGGAACCAGCGAGCCTCTTTGAAGTTTGCTTGTTTAACTGAATCTCAAACCATGCCAGCCATGTTTGTTTGCACAGTTTCAGACCTCGTTCTTGTAAGAACGCAACACGGATTTACGATTTGACATTGGAAAAATAGATACTCGGGCACAGAGGGAAAACATTTTTTTTCCCAGCACATGGGTGCACGGGCGCAGCTACACCTTTACATGTGTCCACATTTGTGTGCATAAATCAGCTCTCACCTCCTCCATCACTCCCTGTGGTTTATGGGAGCTCAGTAGGGAGCCACATCAGCCTCCCCCTTTGATGATGACACGCGTGATTCATGGCTTTTCGGGGAGCGTTTGTTTTCATTACGCCCTCTCGTCAGTCCGCTGTATCTGCATCGCAGTTTCGTGCAACCTCAGCAAAATTTGGCCGGATCGAGGGGAAAATAGAGTTTGTTTTTTTGGCATCAGAAGAAACAAAGGAGCTCGGGGTTGTTGTTTTTTTTTGTGCGTGTTTTTTTTGGCATCGAGAGGAATAACTGCCCTCAGCTCCTTTTTCCTCTATTGCTTGGGTTTAGAGGCAGCCAGGGATTCATAAAACGTCAAACTCTTGGAAAATTAGGAGTCGAGAGGGTACGAAAAAAAAGTCAAAAGTCCAACGTGGGTTTGTCTCTCCAGCTCTGATGTTCCTCTGCTCTGTGTGGTTTGTTCCACCAATTCTGGCTTTTTATTCATACTGCTTAAAACTATACACTTCCCGCTCCCCAATCAGAAATAAAGTTAAATATGGCTCGTAGTATTCGTACCTATGAAGATGGTTCAACTGTTCTTCACCGAAGTGATAAAATCAGACTTTACGATGGCTGAAACTCAGCTGCTGAGCTCCAGAACCTGAGAAGGCTGATGGGTCACGGGGATCCAACACAAACAACCGTTCCGTCGGGCAGAAGCAACAATTCAGACGACAAGATTTTAACCGAACGGGATCTTGAACATGAATAAATGTGGACTCTCTCGTTTGTCCCTTCCTCCATTGCGATCTATGTAAACAGAACACACATCCACGACAAAAACAGCAGTCTTTGAGCACATTGTCCTTACGTGGCTGCATTTTTTTGGGGCAAAACGGAACGTGGAAAGGAATTCCACGGGGCTTTCGATGGCTTTCGAGATCCCTCCGTGGGAGTGAGAACGCTTTTTCTTGCCAACGTTTTGGAGAGTCAAGACGCGGCTACTGGCCAGCGGACATGGCCGACCAGGCTCCCTCCATCCTCCAGACGGAGAAGGCGTAGCTCAGCCTCTCGTGAGCCAGGTAGTTGCACCCGGCCAGCTTGCTGTCCATCTCGTCGCTCTGCAGGACCTGGTAGAGGAAGTCGATGTAGCGGGAAGCCAGCCGCAGCGTCTGGATCTTGCTCAGCTTGTCGGAGGGCAGCGTGGGGATGATCTTGCGCAGGGAGGCGAAGGCCTCGTTCAGGGACTGCGTGCGCTGGCGCTCCCGGATGTTGGCGATGACCCGCTGGGCGTGGGGGTCCTCCAGGGCCGACAGGCCTCCGGGGCTGTGGCTGGAGGCCGGGGACAGCGACCCGCCGGAGGAAGGGGGCCGATGCTGGGGACTCCGTTTGGGTTTTTTGGGAACCGTCTGAAGCCCGTCCTTCGGCTTGACCACGCCGTTGGGGAGAGCGATCTGATCCCCGATCTGCCGCTTGACCCCCGGCGTGGCGACCACGACGGGGCAGGTGTTGGAGAGAGGTCTTCCCGGATCCTCCTGGCTGGGAGCCACCCCTCCCTCGTGGTGGTCATCCTTCGGGGGCTCCTCCTCTCTCATGCTTGGCCACGTTTTTCTTCTCTTTCTCTCTCCTCCTTACCAAAAATGTATCCTACAGTCTTGAGTTTCCCCAGTTCTTCCTCAGCGTGTCTCCCCTCTGTTTGGGTCAGAGGTGTCCCCCCTTTTCTGTTTGTCCTGGGGAGCTCCCTCCGTTGCTCTTGGAGTTTCTGTGATCTTCCGCTGTTTTGTTGATCCGCTCCATCCAACTGTTCAGTTTATCACATTTGAGCGAGCCAAAATATGACAGAAATCACTACTCAGCTATGATTTTTTGTTTTTTTTATCCAAACATGTGCAAAAAATCGGTCAAAATCTCTCCCGGTCTCTGTGGGTGGAAACTGTTTCCGTGTCCCGCTCCGGTGACAGCATGTGAGACAACAGCAACATGAATCTGACTTTTAAACGGGACGTGACTGCGAAAGCCTCCAGCTGCCCTCCCACCTGGTTCCCTGATTGGCTCGGGAGGCGTTTTTTGGAAAACGGAGCTCAGGGCAGCAGGAAGAAGAAAGCCGAAACGATTGGTCCGATCGCAGCGGCGAAGGAGGAGACCACGCTTTGTCAGGCAGCCAACCAGATTGAACAGTTGTGACGTTTGCCTCTTGTTCTGAAAGTTGCCTAAGTTTATGGGTTCCAGATTTCCGCCAAAGCGAGGCCCTACCATCCCCCCCCTCTCGCTGAATGGCAATCCATCCCCAGCTCAGCACATCAGAGGTTGCCTTTTAAAAGAGTCCAGAGGTAGAAGGAAATCAGAAAAATGATTGTTATGTTGTGGCTGCTGTGAAATGTTGATGGATCTGCATTTTCCTTCCTTTAAGGGGTTCTTCCATCTTTCAGCTGATGAAATATGCTGATTTCCTGTTTTCCTCTTTAGGGCACAACAATGTAAACAGCCCAGAGGAAAAAAAGCAAGGAGGCTCTTTTTGAAGGACACAACACTGAATTATTTACCTTTCTCTGTAACTGTTGTTAATGGAGAACTTCTCTCAATTATGATGAGAGCTGAACATATAAAAGCACTCAGACTCAAACACAAGTGTATGCCAATGTTTAATGTTACTCATATACAGTAAAAAAAAAAACAGTAAATGTGTTCTTTTGCTTTGATTGATCAGTGAATAAAATACTTAATTATGACACAGATAACAAAAAAATAGGGATAGTGAAAAAGTTTAAAACATGGAAAATCTGAGATAAGAAAATTATAATAATGCGTATGTGTTATCATCAAACTGAAGATTGGCTTTGGCACTTTTAGTTATTGCAGAATACGACATTAAAGACGAATTTTCTCTTAACATGATCCATGACCTCTAGAGAGGAGTCATTAGAATTAAAACAGTGTGTTCTTGCTTGTGAAACAACAAAGACAGAGTGTTTTTTTTCTTTCCTTTTTTTATTGGTCGTGATTTGGCTGAAATTTCAAGCGGAGAACTGGAGGGAGGACGGAGCTGGCGTCGGGCACTGGAGTCCAATCATTGCATTAAGGAAAGAATGAGTACTGTGAATCAGAACGGAGGCCTCCGGGACCCTTTTGAAACTTCCCTCCGCCGAAAAAACACGCGGATCTCGCCTCGGTTCCCGGTCCAAGGCTCACATTGCTTCAGCGTGGCCCACAGCCACACCTCCACAAGAGAAGAGGCTTTTGTTAGCGGTCTGTTACAGAGACGTGACGCTGCGCCCAGCTGAGGACAGCTCGGAAACAGAGCCGGGAAGTCTTTTTTCCTGGGTCTGCTTAGCTGAGAACCGCATTGAAAAGAAGTACCGCTGTTGTCTGACCACAGACAATAACATTTCTCTTGTGTGCACATGGCTGCTCAGTATGACAGAATTGCTCTCTCAGCCACATCATTTGTTCAACTCCTTCCAATGAATTGCCTTCTTGTTGAAAAGAGCTCTTTTTCCGGTATGATATCACATGATCTATATAAATTACTGATTGTTTTATTTTCTTTTATAACTATATTTTGTGTTGAAGTCTCTGGCTGTGCCCAAATACTCTCTCTTTCTCTCTTTTTCTTTCTTTGTTCCACAGCTGTAGGTCAACACATACACACACTATTTGTTGCCACATTCCAATGTTATCTAAATGAATTAGGACCTGGCCTGTTTATGATCAGAGGTAACTGGCCAATAGGACTTGGTTGTGTCCAGTCCTCCTTTGAAGAGGTGGACCTAGCCCAGGAGAAAATGCCCATCACACCCAGATCTCTGGGCTCTTGGCCCACTCAGCCTCACTGAAATACTTTGCCTGTGACCCAATAAATGTAAATGTTTTACTCTTGATCTACTCTGGTTTATTCTCAGGTTTCCAACTAAAGAGTCGGGTGAACAGCACTCCAGATAGTTCTCCCAACCATTTCTGGGCTTCTATATTGAGCTTATTGGCACCGGAAGGTGCTCATTACAGATCCTCAAAGGTTTACCTTTGGATAACTTTATGCATTATCTATAGTTAATTGATGGGTGTTTTGTTCAAATAAAGTGTCAGCAATAATGGGCACGTTAAGAAAGAATATGTTTTTGACTTTTATGTGCAAATTGGTGATTGTGTGATGTCTAATTGTGTGCCAACAGCAAGACCCATCCCCATGTATCGATAAAATAGGCAAGCAAAGATCCTGACTATTTATGGTTCACAATGTTGTCTTGAATGATAAAAAATAAAAAGCTTGGCTAAAAGGTTTTTGTTGATCAGCTAAAATTAACTGAAGGCCGAATAGCATAAAGCATGACAAATTCCAATCTTAAGACAATAATTCGCCTTACTTTGAATATCAATATACTGAATATCTCATGAAAAACTGTAAATCTAATATTCAAAGCAACAGTTTGACAAGTTAATAAAATAACAATTTCCTTTCAAACATCAAAAAGGCAGAAATGATGCAACACATGAGCCAAAAAATGTTTGACTGCTGTGCAATCATTGCAGTTTCTTTGCAATCTTGTGAAAAAAACAAACCAACCCGGAATCTGTGACTCCTTTACCAGAGTGTTCACGCTGTAGATGGAGCTGTTGTACTTTTGTTGGCAGAGCTGAATTTAAAACAATAGGGCAGGTCTCACGAACCCAAACAAAAAGCACAAACTTCTGCATCTAAATCTATAGTTTAAAGAAAACTCTTCTCCCCCCATCACAAGTAGAAGTTAACACAGACAAAAATGCTTTTAGACATTTAATTTTCATTTAGAATACGTATTTTTATGGTATTGGGGCAGTTGTTCACCCTATGAGATAGACTGAATGTGCCTCAAAAGAATAATTCACTTTCCCCCCTCTGTATTGACACAACACTGATAAAGGCACATGTTGAGAACTGTCAAATTCAGTAACTGAGATAGAAGAGGAACTCTGCAGAGGGTTTGTGTCAAATTTTCCAAGAGTGTCTGAGTTGTCCTGTTTTGAGCATTTATGATGCACAACACAATAAAACGAAGCTCAAAACGAAGCATCCAGCAACAAACACACATCTCCACATTTTGAACTTACAAGAGGAGAAACAAGAGGGCAGCTGCAGATCCCTGTCAAACAAACTCAAACATTGCATTATATGTGGTGTTATTGTGCTGTTAAAACACAACACTTCTTCCATTTTATGTGGATTTCAGACTAGAATACAACGTTTTACCTGTTGGTTGAGCTGTCTTCCTCTCTTCCAGCCAGCAACTCCACGGAAACTGAAGAATTAATTCACAATGATCCGATTTCATGTTTGAAAACGGACTGCTTTATGTTTAAAAAATTAAATGTATTATCTATAATCTAAATGGTGAAAAATCTTTGGCTACACATTGTCATGTCAGCATTCAAATCTGGGAGCTTCAGACCTGCATTGATAATCCACACGTATCGAAAACAAGCGTTTAACGCGGTTAAATGTTATAGATCCATTTATGTGACATAAAAATGGACATGCTTTGGGTTTTGATTATCTTTACTGTTCATCCAGTTAGCTGTAAGATAACTTAGCTTACCGCAGAATACAATGTTTGAGAAAAGTTCTTCAGGTCCTCCATTTTCTTAAGATGGGGCCATAAAGCCTCAATGACCACGAGCACAGAGATGTAATGCGCAGGAGAAGCATAAAAATTAGTCAGAGTGGACAGGTCACACGGGATAATTAGGTGTTTGGGTGTTTAGTATTTGTAGACAAATGCAATGAAAAACCTCCACAATGCTGTTTTTAACTAACCCTAACCCTAACCCATTTCAGTATTCAAAGCAGTGATCCGTCTGTTCAGGACTGGATTTACTAGAATAGCTTACTGGAGGCAGATTCATGAAAAAGATTAAAAAAATAACCATAAAAAATACAGAAATTGCTTTCATCGTTGTGCTTAAATGACACCCAAAGCGTCGTCTGTCATTTGACACAGACGCTCACACAACCAGGAGATTAGAGATGGTTTGGGAATTAAGTTCCCCAGAACATCTCAGGAATTCCCGTGTGGATCGCTTCGGTTTATATGTTTCTGTACAGTGTCTTCTCAGATGAAACTTCTCAGAACAGGACAGAGAGCTTAACTCTGTGGCTTTGCTGAGCTGCATTCCTGAGCAGAGCATCCAAAGAACAGTTCAGGGCTGTAACAAGCCATCAGGACTGGATGTTTAGATATTTGGAGAGGATCACATGTCTTTGCAGACCTCAGGCCCATTAAAGAATAGACTGTGCTTCTGATAGACAGCCAAACACTGTTCCAGTTACAATAGTTCATTAAATTTTATCATTGGCAAAAATAGGATTTAATACTGTTCAACAGACAGAATTTAACCATTCTGAAATAAGTGATTGATGATTTTTTTTTTTTTTAAATACACTGTTATGGTACATCAGTATATATTCTTTGATGAACAACATTTCCAGTGTAATTTGAGAGTATATGCACACTTATAGCCTCCTTTAAAAAAAAAATCTTATCGCCTGATTTAAGATCAATGTGTTCAATTTATGAAAAACATTTTGTAAGTTTTACAAAATGTTTTTAATGCCAAATAGGTGAAATAACTTGAATTTATGGAAGGTTTTTCATTGAAGTTAGCAAAAATCCATCTGTCATTCAAACACTGCGCAAAAAGGGCTGAATAGACTGAATCAGCTTTCATCCAGAGCAAGAGAAAAAACTGACCTTGGCTATTGTAAAAATCCCAATATATTTGATGTGGAACCATTTTTAAGGGGTCCAACACTCAGAAAAAATGCATCAGAACACATAAACACAGCCCTATCATTTTGTGTCTTCTGAAAAAATAGCAAATCTTTTTCAAATCCCTTCTTACAGTCTCTGACAGCTGGAAAAAACACCTCCACAATGCATCTGACATCACATTCAGAATGCTGATAATCAGGTTCTGTGATGATTGAATAATCAGCAGCTCTGTGCAATCAGCACATGATGGTTTATATAACAGCAAAACTAGAAAAAAAGCTAATTTACAAAGATTTTTGTACATTTGGAATGGCTACAAACATCAAGTAAATACCCAGAAATGACTAAAAGATGATAAGGACACATGCTTTCTTGGAGATCAGGGAACTTAATGTAACTCAAAGGTTAGAGGGTTCGATCTTTTATTGCATTTTCTGCAGGCAGTTGTCAAAAGAAAACTGCCCCAAATCTACATCTAAGTCCAGGAGTGGGCAGTATCTAGCATTTGGATGTATGAAGTAGCCTACAGGTTGGATGTGTTGTTACTTAGATATAAAGTTATCCTATCTGTTCTAGGTTGCTGTTCACTATATGTTCTGTACTAAATATAGCCCTGAAAACCCAGACAGTTTGAAATATGTCCTCAACAGACCTAATACAATGATCTTGTTCTGTAGCAATGTTGAAAATCAGGCTCTGTGTGCCTCTTGGGAACTGTTTTGACGTGGATTACGCGAAGGAACCAGGACTTAAAGGCTTTGCATTACAGTCAAAAGTAAAGAACAAAGAAATGCATTTACCGAGTTTTTATTTCGCCCGTAGGCAATCGTCGAAAAAAAAAGGGGGAGATAATTTCTAAAACAATCCCTACAGCCACGAAATGCGGGGCTTTTCTCGGAATACACGAGTTCCATCGGCAAACAGAACAGATCCAAATGTTGGGGCTTTGCAAATAATGCACCATCCGCCACGGGAAGATATTCCAGCAGCAAACAGTGAAGTTACAGCAGCTATCGGCAATAAAACACGAGAAAAAGAACTATGGCTCATCAGGGAAGCTCACAGTGTGTTGGAAAACACAAAAAAAAACCTATCTGAGGTGTTCATCCACAGCCGAGAACAGACACTGGTGACCTCTGGTGGATGTGGAAAGGTAAACAAAACAGAAATAAAACAGAAGTAACACAGAAACAACCCAAAAACTTTAAAGTAAAGTTAAACTGAATGTTTTTGGGAATATATTTCCGCCCACAGTTGCATTGTGGCATTTGTGCTTGGTCCAATATTTTGCAGGTGTCTTGCAAACAATGTGCATCTCTTTTAGATTCCGTCATCACACAGTAAACCGAAACGTGTTTCAGCTGCAGAAACACGATACCTCAGGTCTTAAAGAGGAGGTGGCTTCTTTTTTTTCCCCTTTCCTTTTTTTTAATGAATGTCAGCAGAAGGCAACCTGTCTAAATGTCTTGGTCATTCTTTGTTTGTAACCCTTTGACATTACAGTTCACTCACAATTCAGCCTGCGGATGAAATATTTCATCACCAACAAACAGACGTTTCTCATAAAGGCTGGATGAACAGGATCAGCCAGTAACTGCAACCTTACAAGAACCTAATACAGAGGAATGTGGAGACACATGGATTAATCATCCCAAAAAAATCACGGCGAAATGATGGTGCCTTGTAATGAGTTAAACATTATTCAACAAACTGGTTAACATGAATTAGAAATGGATGGATGGACTCATTTTCCTTAAAAAGATGGCCAAAAAACGACCATGATTTTGGATACCCAACCCCCCACCCAGCAAGTATTTTGGAAACAGATGCTACCACCACTCTAAAATAGACTGCTGATTTTACAGGAAACCACCTTGGATTGCCTGAATGTTTATTGTTCTTTCTTTTCCACTTGACCTTTTGTCATTTTTCTCTGAAACATCCCTTCAACCCAGATCTTCAAACCCTGTAAGCACTCACTGAAATGGAGATTGTGAGCACTTTCCGTCTTGGTAATGTTTACAGTCAACAGGAGACTAAGATCTGTATGAGTTTGAATATCATTTTACCTAATTTATGAGCAAATGAACCCAGAAAGATGCACTTTTTAATATCCAGATTCAATCATAGTATGTTTTGTTGACTTTATTGAGTTGTGGTTTTTGGAATTCCCCATGAAAACCAAGCAAAACAACAGTAACCGAAAGGAACTTGGAATACCTTGAGCGTGGGTCATGTTTTCGGTAATCCTGCCGGACTATTTTGTGTTCTGTGATTTCTGGCAAGCGAGGTTTTCCGGCACATAATTCACTTTTCAAAAAAAGTTTCCTGGGATTTGCGTATTTTTACCATCAACAGTGACCCCTATGCTGGTGTCATTTGATGGCAGCACATGAAAACAGGCCAGCTGGATAGGAATGCTGCTCTGCGCACATTTGGCACCACCTCCCGCCAGACTAATAAGAAGGAGCTGCTCACTTCCTTCTTGTCTGTGTGCGTTGCCCTTTACCTGTCACCTACCTGCAGGCTCAGTGTGGGCTTGCTGCCTGGGAAGATAAGCCAAGAACCGAGAGCTGAATCAGCATGAGAAGGAGACTTTTTGGCGAAGACAGATAAGAGGAGAGCAATAAAAGAAAAAATAAGCCGCAAAACTATCGACTCGTCATGTCTTCATCTAAGCAGGAGGAGCAACTGGCTCAGGAGTTGAGCTGCCCAATCTGCCTCCAGCTCTTCTGCGATCCGGTGGTCCTCCCCTGTGGGCACAACTACTGCCGGGCCTGCATCTACAAGAACTCCGACACCGTGGACATCATGGGCAAAGCGCCTCCACGATGTCCGGAGTGCCGCGAGGAGTACCACAGCGTGGAGTCCCTGCAGAAGAACTTCAAGCTGTGCAACATCATCGAGGGCTACCGCGCCACGGCGCCCAAACCGGACGCGGAGCCCCCGGCTGACCCCGAGGAGCCGGCGGTCTTCTGCGACTACTGCATAGAGAACAAGAGCCGGGCGGTCAAGAGCTGCCTGAAGTGCGAGGTGACCCTCTGCCCCCGGCACCTGCAGAGGCACCACGAGAAGGAGTCCTTCAGGGCCCACACTTTGGTGGACCCCCTGAAAGAGGTGGCCATCAAGGGCTGCCCCGTCCACCAGCGTCCCCTGGAGTACTTCTGCTCCCACGACATGACCTCCCTGTGCGCCACGTGCTTCGTGGAGGGCTATCACCAGAACCACGACGTGCTCACCTTCAGCGTGGCCGAGGAGGAGATGCGCCGGGCCCTGGAGACCCGCCACAAGGTAGGTCGTAATCAATCCAGAATGCTAAAAACAAAACAAAACAAAAAGAAAAGAAA